AACGCAAGATACAAGTCAAGTCTGTGATCGAGACACGAAAGAAAGGTATTGAACACAAGAAAAACGAAATCGCTGATCTTGAAAGACATTGTAATCGTATTGAAGCGCGAGGCGATGCAGTGAAACGAGACATCCACAAGTCTGCTGAAGACATGATCGCAATCATTGAAACAAAGAAGAAGGAAATGTTAAACAAAGCTGATAAACAAATTAAAGAATCCCTTGGATGTGTGCGAACTCAACAACGCGAGGTCCAGCGTCAAGTCAAACTACTTGAAACAGCAGTCGAAAAAGCTGAATCACTTTTAAAACGATGTACAAATGCCGAGATTACACAGTTAGATAAGTCACTGAATACGGTCCTCCCTGAGGAAGTCAGCGGTGTTGGAAAACAAGCCGCGGCTGACCCTGAAGGTCTTCGTCAATTCCGTTTTAAAGAAAACAAAACATTACTTGACAGTCTTAATTCTGACGGCATCGGCACATTTCAAACTTTTGTGACAAACACTTGTGCTCATCAGTCAACTGCCGAAGGGGAAGGAATCAGTGAGGCGAGTGTTGGACTTGAATCAAACTTTTTATTAACCACAAGAAATGCCGAAGGAGAACAATGTTACAATGAGCGTGACTGTGTAACCGTGGAAATAAAAAATCAGCGAGACCATGACTGTGCGACGGAAGTGCGATTGAAAGATGAGAAAGATGGCAGCTATAAAGTCAGATATTTCCTCAAAGATACAGGAAAATGCCAAGTATCAGTGAAAGTAAATGAAGAACACATTCGTGGCAGTCCATTTCCTCTTAAACCGAAACCCAGACAGTTCAGACACGTGTTATCTTTTGGACAACGAGGTTCGTCTATTGGAATGCTATACCGCCCATATGGAGTGGCAGTGAATGAACGAGATGAAATTGCAGTGACTGATAGTAATAACCACAGGGTTCAGGTATTCAGTAGTGATGGAACTTACTTAAGATCTTTTGGTAGGAAGGGTGATAAACAGGGAGAGTTAAATTGGCCTGCTGGGATAGCATTTGATAAAAATAGTCGCAGTATAGTAGTAGACAGTAATAACCACCGAGTTCAATTGTTTAATGAGCAGGGTGAGTACCTGAGCCAGTTTGGTGGTAAAGGAAATCTTGATCACCAGCTGAGGGATCCCTTAGGTTTATCTATTGACAGAAATGGAAACATCGTTGTTGCCGATCCGGGCAACAAAGTTATAAAAACCTTTTCTCCCAGTGGCCAGTTTTTGTATAAACTTGGTGAAGGTGAAGGTGAGGGTTTTACTTCTCCTTTTCACTGTATTCAATATGACAAATATCTAATAGTGTCAGACGCTGGTGAAAATTGTATCAAAGTGTTTGATATAAATGGAAACTTTTTGTACAAATTTGGAAATAAGGGGAACAGGGACGGGGAGTTTAACTCACCCCGTTTTTTGTCAGTTAACAAGGCAGGACACCTGATGGTCTGTGACAGAGACAATGACAGAGTTCAGGTATTTGAACTGAGTGGTAAGTTTATAACAAAGTTTGGAAAACAAGGGAATGGGCCAGGAGAGTTCAAGGGTCCAACATCTACAGCAGTTCTTAGTGATGGTAGGATAGTTGTAGCTGATTGGTTGAACAATCGCATTCAGATATTTGAGTAAACGTGGATAATTTATCTACCATCACATTCAGACTACAAATTACTTCTAAAAAATTGTTTTCACCTAATCTTCAAATCATTTCTCGGATGAGCTTTTCGTCGTAGTCTCAGTGAAAAGAACATTGTAAAACTTTGAGTCAGTGGATTCCATTTTGTTCATTGTATAGTTACAAGTTCGTGCGTTAGGTTTTCCATCACAAAAGAGAAAATAATATCCCACTTTTTTTCTCTTGCTCAAGGTAAACCTAAGAAAAGTGTTTTCTTAGCTTGGTTGTTTTGCTTAAATAAATGGAAATTAATTAAAAGTAGATTAAAATGACCCGTTTTGAACTTTCAGAGAGAGGCTATTAGAAAAACAATAAGTTAACTGCAAACTGGTTATTGCCATTTTCAATCAAATTCGCCAAGATTTCATTAACAAATTGTCGTTGTTCCTTTTGTCGTTTTTCCATGAGCTCAGATGAACAACACTTTCATTTTTCCTTTGTTGTTGGCTATTTTCTTTTCTAATGGCTCGTCCTTCAGTTTACTTGTTATAAACGAATAATGCTGGTTTATCTGTGTAGAGTTACATGAAACTGCACGTCAAAGTGCAGTTGAACGGCTGATTAATGTTTGCGACGTGATTGTTTTATTCATGTAAATCTTGCAGTATTTGCCGAAAAAACGATAACTTTTAAGGCGGTACGTCATGAAAAGCTAGGGTTTTCTCTCTGTTTCGATTCGCGTGAAAGGATCCTACCATTGTAATCTTTAGATTCTAGTTTTTTAGGGAAGACAAAAAAAGAGGTGAAAAATTATTGTGGTAGTGTATTCATTATTGAAAAAGAAACGAAAATTCATTAAAAATTGTCAAAGAGCAAGGAAAATGTGAATCTGTTCCAATGTGTTCAATTATTTCAGTAGTATATTGTACATAACTTGACTGTTAAGTTTGAAAAGAATTCTCTGAGGTAGCAGCAAAGCTCAAAGAATTACTTAGATATTGCCGATTACATTGCAAGCTCGACACATTATTAAAATGCACGGCCATATGTTGAATAAACAAGCCACCTTCGCTTGGAGCTAACGGCCTCTTTGAATTTTCATGCGGAAGATGCAGCGATAGGACGAACTCACCGACGCCCAATTCTTACTCTTCTCTGATTTACATCAGAGGTTTAAGCAGGCAGATCAGCTTCCTGAATTTTTCCAGCCAGATTTTAGCCATGGAAATAGCGAGCGAGGATCTTTACACCTCTGCAGAGCCCTTTGTTGAGGCTGCTTCATTCGATGCGCGCTGAAATCCACGATTTAATCGGGTTTAAATTCGTTCCAAGAGAATAAACACTTTATATTCTCTTGTCCGTTCTTTAAATGATGTCACCCCTAACTGATATACTGTTTATCCTTCTCACAATCTACGATTTCGTATGCATAATAAGACACTTTTTACTGGTAACTAATTTCTTGCATCCTTGTCAGTTATCTTCCCATTGACTTTTTCCAAAGCAAGCGAAATGTCACTACCGAGTGCTTCATTGTAAAAGGAATCAGAATTGTCCCGCACTCTTTATAAGGTTAGGTTTTATTCAGTCAGTCAGGAGCAGTTCACTGAAGGATTGAATGTCAAAATTTGTTTCATTTAACATCATCAGTTAATCGCAGTGATTTTGGCAAAGGTCCGTCAGCCTGGAGAATAATCTCATATGTGACTCGTCCTATATTTGTCCAAGTCACATGTGCTAACTGTCATCACTTCTACATTAACGCCCTAAGGGGTCGTGTCATTCGTTAAAAGCTGTTTTTGAATTATAGTCTGACCTCATTCCTGGGTCGTTTGTAATGTCTCGTTCGATTTCTGTAGTGATTTTCAGTGCACCTTTACTGACTGAATTTTGTATTTGCATTTTTGGCCAAACCAATGGCGGGTTGAACAAGGCCTTTCCATGGTAACCGACTTTACAAGGAACAGCGATGAACAAATCACCTAAAATAGACTCTTAACTATCTGAATGGCATCTCGAGTCTTTTGATTAAATTCAGCTCTTATCACGTCTTTTTCTTTTCAATGGAAGATGCAAGGGCTCTTAAAACTGGTTCAAGTAAAAACATTTTAACTATCAGTGACTGTAACAGTATACTCACCCCTGTGTTTAAGGGTAATTTATTTCCCTCTGTGGTCAAAGAGAAAATATAAGTTCATTAATATTTTTGAAAATCTTTGATGATCTCCAAAAACAGAATTCGCTAAACAAATCTCAAAACAATACTCGAAAGTTGCAAGTTCAGTTTGCGTTCAATTCTAAACTAAACTCCTTTAAGCTTCCTTTAAGCAACTGAGGAAAATGATTTCGTTTCTCTTCCACTTGTGTAGGAGATTTTCATACCCCGCAACAAAAACCGCGTCTTTATCGTTCCTCTTTCCCTTATTATCTTAAACTCTCTACAGAGGCACGATTTTACAAACATTCTCTTCGGTAGAAGAACTATTCGAAGCTCGACACGTAATCAAAATGCTCGACTATATCTTGAAAAACTAGAAAGTCAACTGAAAGGTGGCGGGTTTCTACCATTACGGCAAACACGCAGACGCCCAATTCCACTTTTCTCTCCAAACTACATCCACAATTTTAATTAGGTGGACAGGTTTACTCCATCAATTTTACCGGCCAGTTAATCCCCTTAGAGTAGCAATTGAGGATCCTTTCACTTTTTCTGAGCGCCTTTTTGAGGTCCAATTTTTCATTACGCGCAGAAATCCAGGTCGCATGTTTATTCTGACGACAAAAGCGGTTTCTATCAGAGTTTATGATCTGAAACATCCCACCATCTTTCCCTCGTTTCGAAAAAGTTTCTTCCCCGTCAGTGTTTTCTACATCCACTGAATTCTTATACGCATGCTCCCATTTGATTCACCTTCCCTCTGCAGGCGATGTCACCCTCAACTTTTTACCCCCTCATAATCTAGGATTTTTCCTCCAAGACACACTCCTTAAGGGTTTACTACAGTCAGGTCATGTTTATGACCTCATATTGGTCATTCTATTTTTGAAGCAAAAAGAAACAGTAGCGTGACTAAGAAGTGTTTTTTGGTGGAAATTGATATGAAAGATTTAGTTTTTTTACTGAAGTATGTTTCGTGTCTGAGTTTCGTAATCCTTTAATTTGGGGTCGTTACAGGTCAAGCTTTTCTCAGAAATAACCTGCCGGTAAACAACTCTTAGAACCCAGACATCCACAGTATGTATAACCTGCCTCGATTGGTCGATATCACTGATGCGATAAGTATGATAATTGATATCAAAAAGCTTCGCTTGGGGCGACTTGAAGTTGATATCTCTACCTTAGTCGGTTGTACTCAATCATGGATATAAAAACCTTGCTTGACAGTCTTCATGAAGAAGTATCCTGTTCTGTGTGTATGACCACATTTACTGATCCAAAGATACTGCCATGTTTGCACAGTTTCTGTCTGCACTGCTTAAACGGGATTTTACGAACAAGTGGCCGCTATGACATCTTCCCATGCCCTGAATGCCGAAGAGAAGTTCAAGTTCCTAGCAGTGGAAACCTCAACGATCTGCCGACAAACTTTCGTATGAACAGTTTGCTAGATGTGCTGGCCATCAAAGAATGCCATACTGCTGGAGTGAAATGTGCAAACTGCGACAAAAGTAGCAGACACAGTTCGTACTGTTTTCAGTGCTGTGCGTTCTGGTGTGACGAGTGTATCATTGCGCATAACTTAATCAAAGCGAATAGAGAGCATCGAGTTCTTGCCCTGAAAGATTTTGAAGATCAAGACATCGAGGACGTGTTAAAGCGGCCGGTATTTTGCCAACAGAAGCATCACGAAAAAGAAGAACTCAAGTTCTTTTGCAACAACTGTGGCGTTGCCATTTGTAATTTGTGTGTTGCAACCATCCATGATGGTCACGCTAAGATTGTTCTAGAAGAAGCAGCAAGTGAATGCAAGATACAAGTCAAGTCTGCGATCGAGACACAAAAGAAAAATATTGAACACAAGAAAAACGTAATCGCTGATCTTGAAAGACAGTGTAAACAAATTGAAGCGCGAGGCAATGCAGTGAAACGAGACATCCACAAGTTTGCTGAGAACATGATCTCACTCATTGAAACAAAGAAGAAGGAAATATTCAACAAAGCTGATAAACAAATTAGAGAATCCCTTGGATGTGTGCGAACTCAACAATGTGAGGTCAACCGTCGAGTCAAACTGCTTGAAACAGCAGTCGAAAAAACGGAAACACTTTTAAAACGATGTACAAATGCCGAGATTACACAGTTAAATAAGTCACTGAATACGGTCCTCCCTGAGGAAGTCAGTGATATTGGAAAACAAGCCGCGACTGACCTTGAAGGTCTTCGTCAATTCCTTTTCAAAGAAAACAAAACATTACTTGACAGTCTTAACTCTGACAACATCGGCTCATTTCAAACTTTTGTGACAAACACTTGCGCTCATCAGTCAACCGCCGAAGGGAAAGGAATCAGTGAGGCGAGAGTTGGACTTGAATTAAACTTTCTATTAACAACAAGAAATGCCGAAGGAGAACAATGTTACAATCAGCGTGACTGTGTAAACGTGGAAATAAAAAATCAGCGAGGCCATGACTGTGCGACGGAAGTGCGACTCAAAGATGAGAAAGATGGCAGCCATAAAGTCAGATATTTCCTCAAAGATACAGGAAAATGCCAAGTATCAGTGAAAGTAAATGAAGAACACATTCGTGGTAGTCCATTTCCTCTTAAACCGAAACTCAGACAGTTCAGACACGTGTTATCTTTTGGACAACAAGGCTCGTCCGTTGGAATGCTATGCCATCCATATGGTGTGGCAGTGAATGAACGAGATGAAATTGCAGTGACTGAAGTTAGTAACCACAGAGTTCAGGTATTCAGTAGTAATGGAACTTACTTAAGATCTTTTGGTAGGGAGGGTGATAAACAGGGCGAGTTAAATTGGCCTGTTGGGATAGCATTTGATAAGAATAGACGCAGTATAGTAGTAGACTATAATAACAACCGAGTTCAACAGTTTGATGAGCAGGGTGAGTACCTGAGCCAGTTTGGTGTTAAAGGAAATCTTGATCACCAGCTGAGGGATCCTTTGGGTTTATCTGTTGACAAGAATGGAAATATCATTGTTGCCGATAAGGGCAACAAAGTTATAAAAACCTTTTCTCCCAGTGGCCAGTTTTTGTATAAACTTGGTGAAGGTGAAGGTGAAGGTTTTACTTCTCCTTGTCACTGTATTCAATATGACAAATATCTAATAGCGTCAGACTCTGCTGAACATTGTATCAAAGTGTTTGATATAAATGGCAACTTTTTGTACAAATTTGGAAATAATGGGAACAGGGACGGGGAGTTTAACACACCCCGTTTTTTGTCAGTTAACAAGGCAGGACACCTGATGGTCTGTGACAAAAACAATCACAGAGTTCAGGTATTGGAAATGAGTGGTAGGTTTGTAACAAAGTTTGGAAAACGAGGGAGTGGGCCAGGAGAGTTCGAGGGTCCAACATCTACAGCAGTTCTTAGTGATGGTAGGATAGTTGTAGCTGATTGGATGAACCATCGCATTCAAATATTTGAGTAAATGTGGATCATTTATCTACCATCACATTCAGACTACAAATTACTTCTAAAAAAAATTGTTTTCAACTAATCTTCAAATCATTTCTCGGATGAGCTTCTCGTCGTAGTCTCAGTGAAAAGAACATTGTAGAACTTTGAGTCAGTGGATTCCATTTTGTTCAATGTATAGTTACAAGTTCGCGCGTTAGGTTTTTCATCACAAAAGAGAAAATAATATCCCACTTTTTTTCTCTTGCTCACGGTAAACCTAATAAAAGTGTTTTCTTAGCTTAGTTGTTTTACTTAAATAAATGGAAATTAATTAAATATAGATTAAAATGACACGTTTTGAACTTTCAGAGAGAGGCCATTAGAAAAACAATAAGTTAACTGCAAACTGGTTATTGCCATTTTCAATCGAATTCGCCAAGATTTCATTTACAAATTGTCTTTGTTACTTTTGTCGTTTTTCGATGAGCTCAGATGGACAACACCTTCTTTTTCCTCTGTTGTTGGCTATTCACTTTTCTAATGGCTCGTCCTTCAGTTCACTTGTTATAAACGAATAATGCTGGTGTATCTGTGTAGAGTTATAGGAAACTGCACGTCAAAGTGCAGTTTCATGTAACTCTACACAGATACACCAGCATTGAATAATGTTTGCGACGTGATTGTTTTATTCATGTAAATCTTGCAGTATTTGCCGAAAAAACGATAACTTTTAAGGCGGTACGTCACGAAAAGCTAGGGTTTTCTCTCTGTTTCGATTCACGTGAAAGGATCCTACCACTGTAATCTTTAGATTCTAGTTTTTTAGGGAAGGCAAAAAAAGAGGTGAAAAATTATTATGATAGTGTATTCATTATTGAAAAAGAAACAAAAATTCATTAAAATTGTCAAAGAGCAAGGAAAATGTGAATCTGTTCCAGTGTGTTCAATTATTTCAGTAGTATACTGTACATAACTTGATTGTTAAGTTTGATAAGAATTCCCGGAGGTAGCAGCCAAGCTCAAAGAATTACTCAGATATTGCCGATTACATTGCAAGCTCGACGCATAATCAAAATGCACGGCCAAATGTTGAATAAACAAGCCACCTTCGCTTGGAGCTAGCGGCCTCTTTGAATTTTCATGCGGAAGATGCAGCAATAGGACAAACTCACCGACGCCCAATTCTTACTCTTCTCTGATTTACATCAGAGGTTTAAGCAGGCAGATCAGCTTCCTGAATTTTTCCAGCCAGATTATTAGCCATGGAAATAGCGAGCGAGGATCTGTACACCTCTGCAGAGCGCTTTGTTGAGGCCGCTTCGTTCGATGCGCGCTGAAATCCACGACTTTAATCGGGTTTAAATTCTTTATATTCTCTTGTCCATTCTTTAACTGATTTCAGCCCTAACTGATATACTGTTTATCCCTCTCACAATCTAGGATTTCGTATGCATAATAAGACACTTTTTACTGGTAACTAATTTCTTGCATCCTTGTCAGTTATCTTCCCAATGACTTTTTCCAAAGCAAGGGAAATGTCACTACCGAGTGCTTCATTGTAAAAGGAATCAGAATTGTCCCGCACTTTTTATAAGATAGTTGTTCACTTTTCGCTCTCAATAACAACTTCCCTTTTGACGAGTGTTTTATTCAGTCAGTCAAGAACAGTTCACTGAAGGATTGAATTACAAAATTTGTTTCATTTAACGTCATCAGTTAATCGCACAGAATATTATCAGAGGTCTGTCAGCCTGGAGAATAATCTCATATGTGACTCGTCTGATATGTGTCCAAGTCACATATGCTATCTGTCATCACTCCAACATTAAAACCCCAAGGGGTCGTGTCATTCGTTAAAAGCTGGTTTTGAATTAAAGTCTGACCTCATTCCTGGGTCGTTTGTAGTATCTCGTTCGATTTCTGTAGTGATTTTCAGTGCACCTTTACTGACTGAATTTCGTATTTGCATTTTTGACCAAACCAATGGCGGGTTGAACAAGGCCTTTCCATGGTAACCGACTTTACAAGGAACAGCGATGAACAAATCACCTAAAATAGACTCTTAACGTACTGTCTGAATGGTATCTCGAGTCTTATGATTAAATTCAGGTTTTATCACGCCCTTTTCTTTTCAATGGAAGATGCAAGGGCCCTTAAAACTGATTCAAGTAAAAACATTTCAACTATTAGTGACTGTAACAGTATACTCACCCCTGTGTTTAAGGGTAATTTATTTCCCTCTGTGGTCAAAGAGAAAATATAAGTTCAATAATATTTTTGAAAATCTTTGATGATCTCTAAAAACAGAATTTGCTCAACAGATCTCAAAACAATACTCGAAAATTGCAAGTTCAGTTTGTGTTCAATTCTAAACTAAACTCCTTTAAGCTTCGCTTTATTGTTCGCAACTGAGGAAAATGATTTCGTTTCTCTCCCATTTGTGTAGGAGATTTTCAGACCCCACAACAAAAACTGCGTCTTTCCCTTATTATCTTAAACTCTCTACAGAGGCACGATTTTACAAACATTCTCTTCGGTAGAAGAACTATTCAGAGCTCGACACGTAATCAAAATGCTCGACCATATCTAGAAAAACTAGAAAGTCAACTGAAAGGTGGCGGGTTTCTACCATTACGGCAAACACGCAGACGCCCAATTCCACTTTTCTCTCCAAACTACATCCACAATTTTAATTAGGTGGACAGGTTTACTCCATCAATTTTACCGGCCAATCAATCCCCTTAGAGTAGCATTTGAGGATCCTTTCACTTTTTCTGAGCGCCTTTTTGAGGTCCAATTTTTCATTACGCGCAGAAATCCAGGTCGCATGTTCATTCTGAGGACAAAAGCGGTTTCTATCAGAGTTTATGATCTGAAACATCCCACCATCTTTCCCTCGTTTCGAAAAAGTTTCTTCCCCGTCAGTGTTTTCTACATCCACTGAATTCTTATACGCATGCTCCAATTTTGATTCACCTTCCCTCTGCAGACGATGTCACCCTCAACTTTTTACCCCCCTCATAATCTAGGATTTTTCCTCCGAGATACACTCCTTAAGGGTTTACTACAGTCAGGTCATGTTTATGACCTCATATTGGTCATTCTGTTTTTGAAGCAAAAAGAAACAGTAGCGTGACTAAGAAGTGTTTTTTGGTGAAAATTGATATGAAAGATTTAGTTTTTTTACTGAAGTATGTTTCGTGTCTGAGTTTCGTAATCCTTTAATTTGGGGTCGTTACAGGTCAAGCTTTTCTCAGAAATAACCTACCTGTAAACAACTCTTAGAACCCAGACATCCACAGCATGTATAACCTGCCTTGATTGGTCGATATCACTGATGCGATTAATATGATAATTGATATCAAAAAGCTTAGCTTGGGGCGACTTGCAGTTAATATCTCTACCTTAGTCGGTTTTACTCAATCATGGATATAAAAACCTTGCTTGACAATCTTCATGAAGAAGTATCCTGTTCTGTGTGTATGACCACATTTACTGATCCAAAGATACTGCCATGTTTGCACAGTTTCTGTCTGCACTGCTTAAACGGGATTTTACGAACAAGTGGCCGCCATGACATCTTCCCATGCCCTGAATGCCGAAAGGAAGTTCAAGTTCCTAGCAGTGGAAGCCTCGAGGATCTGCCGACAAACTTTCGTATGAACAGTTTGCTAGACGTGCTGGCCATCAAAGAATGCCATACTGCTGGAGTGAAATGTGCAAACTGTGACAAAAGTAGCAAACACAGTTCGTACTGTTTTCAGTGCTGTGCGTTCTGGTGTGACGAGTGTATCATTGCGCATAACTTAATCAAAGCGAATAAAGAGCATCGAGTTCTTGCCCTGAAAGATTTTGAAGATCAAGACATCGAGGATATGTTAAAGCGGCCAGCATTTTGCCAACAGAAGCATCACGAAAAAGAGGAACTCAAGTTCTTTTGTAAGAACTGTGATGTTGCCATTTGTAATTTGTGTGTTGCAACCATCCATGATGGTCACGCTAAGATTGTTCTAGAAGAAGCAGCAAGTGAACGCAAGATACAAGTCAAGTCTGTGATCGAGACACAAAAGAAAAATATTGAACACAAGAAAAACGTAATCGCTCATCTTGAAAGACAGTGTAACCAAATTGAAGCGCGAGGCAATGCAGTGAAACGAGACATCCACAACTTTGCCCAAAACTTGGTCGCAGTTATTGAAATAAAGAAGAAGGAAATGTTAAACAAAGCTGATAAACAAATTAGAGAATCCCTTGGATGTGTGCGAACTCAACAATGCGAGGTAAAGCGTCGAGTCGAACGGCTGGAAACAGCAGTCGAAAAAGCTGAAACACTTTTAAAACGATATACAAATGCCGAGATTGCACAGACAGATAAGTCACTGAATATGCTCTTACCTGATGATGTCAGCGATGTTGGAAAACAAGCCGCATCTGACCTTGAAGGTCTTCGTCGATTCCGTTTTAAAGAAAACAAAACATTACTTGACAGTCTTCACTCTGACGGCATCGGCTCATTTCAAAGTTATGTAACAAACACTTGCGCTGATCGGTCATCTGTCAAAGGGAAAGGAATCAATGAAGCGATTGTTGGACTTAAATCAAACTTTTTATTAACCACAAGAAATGCCGAAGGAGAACAATGTTACAATGAGAGTGACTGTGTAACCGTGGAAATAAAAAATCAGCGAGACCATGACTGTGCGACGGAAGCTCGATTGAAAGATGAGAAAGATGGTAGCTATAAAGTCAGATATTTCCTCAAAGATACAGGAAAATGCCAAGTATCAGTGAAAGTAAATGAAGAACACATTCGTGGTAGTCCATTTCCTGTTAAACCGAAACCCAGACAGTTCAGACACGTGTTATCTTTTGGAGAACGAGGCTCGTCTGTTGGAATGCTACACCTTCCATATGGAGTGGCAGTGAATGAAAGAGATGAAATTGCAGTAACTGAGATTGGTAACCAGAGGGTTCAGGTATTCAGTAGTGATGGAACTTACTTAAGATCTTTTGGTAGGAAGGGTGATAAACAGGGAGAGTTAAATTGGCCTGCTGGGATAGCATTTGAGAAGAATGGTTGCAGTATAGTGGTAGACAAAAATAACCACCGAGTTCAATTGTTTAATGAGCAGGGTGAGTACCTGAGCCAGTTTGGTAGTGAAGGAAATCTTGATCACCAGCTGAGAGACCCTTATGGTTTAACTGTTGATAGGAATGGAAATATCATTGTTGCCGATGCAGGCAACAAACTTTTAAAAACCTTTTCTCCCAGTGGCCAGTTTTTGTATAAACTTGGTGAAGGTGAACGATGTAATTCTCCATTTCACTGTATTCAATATGAAAAATATCTTATAGTGTCAGACTCTAGTGAACACTGTATCAAAGTGTTTGATATAAATGGTAACTTTTTGTACAAATTTGGAAATTACGGGAATAGGGACGGGGAGTTTAACGAACCCCGTTTTTTGTCAGTCAACAAGGCAGGACACCTGATGGTCTGTGAGAGAGACAATCACAGAGTTCAGGTATTTGAACTGAGTGGTAAGTTTGTAACAAAGTTTGGAAAACATGGGAGGGGACCAGGAGAGTTCAACAATCCAACATCTATAGCAGTTCTTAGTGACGGAAGAATAGTTGTGGCTGATTGGTTGAACAGTCGCATCCAGATATTTATATAATTAATATTATAATTAATAATTAATAATTATTCTACTGTCACATTCAGACAACAAATTACTTCTTCTTCTAAAAAAATTTTTTCACCTAATCTTGAAAGCATTTCCCAAAGAAGCCTCTCTTTACAGTCTCAGTGAAAAGAACATTTTAAAACTTTGAGTCAGTGGGTTCGATTCTGTTCATTGTATAGCCATTGGTTCGCGCTTTAGATTTTCCATCACGCAAGAGAAAATATT